ACTTACCTGCAACGGCCAGGACCTGGTTTGCTCTCACATGGCCTGTGACCTGAAAGAGAGGCTGAGCGCTGGTGAGACCATCAGGAAAAGTGACTGTTTCTGCCCCTCCCCGACCAAATTCATCATGTGGATCATTAATTCTCAAGAGTAAGTTTACATTTCACAAGGGAAAGACCTACTATAGCTAAATTGCTGAGGCACGGTGGTGCTGACGATTCATTTAGTGTAACTCCATTTACTGTAATATTTGGGAAAATAACCACTTCCAATGTAAGCTAAGCTAAATGCTGGTGAAAGTGATCAGACCCTCATGAAGGGTTTTCCTGTTTTGAAATGGAAACATGAGTGGGAAATGAGAGAACACCTGCATTTTAAGTCCCTGGGTAGTGCGAACAGTCAATGCCCTTGGCTGCTAGCCGAAAGACTGGAGGGTCCAGACTACCCAGAGGTGCCTTGGAAGAAAGGACTGGAGATCTATGTCCAAAATAATCAGGGATTGGAAACCCTATAGAGCACAATTCTACTCTTATGCACATGGGGTCACCATGAGTCTGGGCAGGAGTCGGCTTGACAGCACCTGGTATATTTTCAAAAGTGCTTTAATAAAGTCAGGGTCTCTTTTCTAAGAAAACCTTTTTATACTTGATTTGCTTAAAGGACTCCAGAATTCTTCATTTTGTTAATATACTTTTCTATATGACATTGGGATATGGATGAATAGTTTTGAAATTGTGTGGTGTGTGTGTATGTGTGTAATGTAACGACAACTGGCTTAAGTCATGTTTTGGGTTTTTTTTTTTTTTTTAATATAAAGTATTTGATTTACAATCTGTGGTTTAGGGCAGTGTTCTGAAATTTAGTCACAGCTTAAGTATTCAGTGTGACTTTAAGAGAGTGCTTTCCATGCCTGAATTTTTCTGTGTATAGAATGGATTAATAGTGAAGTTCACATACATTAGACATTAATGGCATATCATTTGGTGTGTTTTGAACTCCTTGGGAAAATGTGATATCATACATGCAAAATCCATAGGCATTCATGTAATACTTATAAAACCTTTTTCTAAAAAATCGCATTTATGTATGTTTTATTTGCACACATTTTTATGCATCGTTTTCCTGAAAGCACACTGGAGAATTTTGTATATTTGATAAAGATTTCCATTATTTGGCTTTACTTGAGATAATGTCAGAAGTCCACTGCACATTTATATCTCATGTGTAATGTGTGCATATTGCTATAACAGGTAGATGCTTTTGCCCTGCTGTGAGAATGTTTTTAGAATTTAAAATCACATGTACACATCACATTTCATTTGTATATCCTCTTTACTTCTGTGAAAGTACGAATAAAAATGTTAGACCACTTCAGAGTTCTTCTCTTAATTGCTTTTGTGACAACAAACTTAAAACCTTTAACTTTGTCTCACTAATAGGAAATATTCTCGTGCGGTCATTTTACAAGCCCCATCTCACAAAATCTCCCCTTACAAAAATTTAGACTTATATATGTATTACTGGAAGAGGATTATTTGAATCACAAAGTCATTTTCCATTTTTCTGCTGCTTAAATATTTTTCAAATTCATCTAGTGCTATCTCCACCACCAGCCCATCACCCTGGTTGTGGTGATCCATACCTCTTCCCTGGACCACTGCAGAAATACCTAACTGACACCTTCCATCAACCTTTGCTTCCTCAGAACTGTTCTTTGCATGCTAGTCATAATGATCTTTTCAAAACCCAAACCAGATTACCTCTCATCCTGCTTCTGCGACTTCCCATTACTCTTAGGCATAGATCCAGTCTCTTAAAAAGTTGAACATAGAACTATCATATGACCCAGCAATCGAATCCTAGGTATATACCACTGAAGACATGTAAGCAGGAACACACAGAAACCTGTACACCAATGTGCATTGCCACAGTTTTCATAGTAGCCAGCCAAAAGGTGGAAACAACTGAAATGCCCATTGAAAGCTGAATAGACAAACAAAATGTGGTACATACATTCAGCTGTAAAGAGAAATGAAGTCCTTCTGTACCCCACAACATGG